TTAGAGATGGACTAGATGCATTTTGCATAATGAGATGGACCTGAGCCTTTTGGGGCTGGGATGGAATGTTATGGTAAGATCTAAAATGCCCCCCAAAAGACTCATTTAGAGGTGGGGCCTGACCAGAAGGGTGGCTCACCAAGTGTGTATATTCTCATCCCCAGCTCTTTCCTTCTCTCTGCTTCCTGGCCAGCATATAGTGAAGAGCTTTCCTCCTTCCATGCTGTTCTGATATGCCATTTCTGCCTTGAAGTTGACCTACCATGGACTATACCCACTGAAACTGTGAGCAAACAATAAACCTCTTTCATATGTTGCAGGTGTCAGATATTTTTTTCTCAACAAAGGTAAGTTGACTAATACAAGTAGTAAATATTGGCATTTCACTCTGTATCAGGCTGTGTTCTAAACTCTCACATTTATTACCTCATTCAACCCAAACAGCACTCCATGAACTAGGCAATATTTTACCTCTGCCAGGTGTGGTAGTGCACTCCTGTAATCCCAGAATTGAGGCGCTGGGGCAGGAGGCTTGCTGGCAAGATGAGGCCAGCCAGGGATAAATAGTGATTTCAAAATCAGTCTGAACTACAATAGTGAGACACTGTCTCAAAAAAAATTACCTCTAGTTGTCTAGTTGAGGCAACTGAGGCACAAAGAGGTTAGGTAACTTGCACAAGGTACGACAGCTGCCTAATAGCAGTGCTAGGCTTTAGACCTTAGGTGTGCACCAGGATCCCTATTCCTAGGTGGTGCTCTTCCTTAGGGCACCTGCCTCCCAGTCATGTAGCACTTGGCCCTTGGCCTGCATCCACTGGTGCCCATTAACTGATACCCACCATGCCTGGGTGTTCCAGTTCCAGAACTGTCTGACTTGAATGACCCTGGCTGAGTTCTGCAGCCTCCTGAAAGCACCCTCTCTACCCCAGTCACTGCAGCTCTGTCTCCCCATGAGGAACATGCGGCAGCAGGGGCTGGGCCTCCTCTCCAGCCTCAGTGTTTACAGAGCTACACTGAAAAGAAAAAAGGAAATGCTTGGCTGGCTGATCCTCTGAAATTCAGGTTATGTTGTTTAAGCCATCTTCAAATCCTTTATGGAGCTGGATGTTGTGGCCCTCACTTGTAACCCCAGCACTCTGTGAGGCTGAGGCAGGAAAATCACAAGTTCCATCTGAACTGGGCAACTTAGGGAGACCTTGTATCAAAATAAAAATTAAAAAAGGACACCCCCCCTCAATTCTTTGTGGAAGGGTAGGAAAGGAAGGAAGAAATGGACAAATAAATAGGTAAGTTCACTCTCTGAGGAGAGAATATTGAACACCAGCTGGCTATCGGCCATCACTCAGTTGCAGCACATTCCTGCCAAAACATAGTATTCTGTATATATCTTAGCTAGTAGTCCTTTGTCTGAGGAACAGCTGGCAAAATTTTTTCCCACACTATGGGTTGTCTCTTCACTCTGTTGGTGGTTTTTCTTGTAGTACAAAAGCTTTATAATGAGATCCCAGTTGTTGATTCTTTGTGATAGTTCCTGTGCAATTGGGGTTTTGTTCATAAAGTCTTTGCCTACACCAATGTCTTTGAGAGTTCTACCTATTCTATCTTCCAGCAGATTTAGTGTTTTTCTTTAATATTTAGATATTTGATCCATTTTGATTTTAGTTTAATGCATGGTGAAAGATATGGGTCTAGTTTCAGTCTTTGGCATATGGAAAGCCAGTTTTTCCAGAACCATTTATTTTGGTTTGGTTTTGCAGTACCGGGGATTGAACTCAGGACCTTGTGCTTGCGAGGCAGGCACAGCACCACTGAGCTAAATCTCCAGCCCACCAGCACCATTTATTAAAGAGGTATCTGTCTTCCAGTGAAGGTATTTTCAATTTGCTTTTACCAAATGAATAATGATGTTGGATATCTTTTCATGTGATGGTTTGCTAAGTATATATCATCTTTGGTGTTGTGACTGTTCACATCTTCTGCTCATTATAAAAAGTTCATTTGTTTTACTCTAGATTTTAGAATGGGTAATATATTCTGGATACAAATCCTTTATCAGATGCGTATTTTTCTTTTCTTTTTTTTTTGGTACCAGGAATTGAATTCAGGGCCTTGCACTTGCCAGGCAGGCACTAAACCACTGAGCTACATCCCTGGCCCAGATACACGTTTTGTCATTGTTTTCTCCTAATCTGTAATTTGTCTTCATTTTCTTACTAATGCATTCTGGAGAAAATATTTCAGCTGTATTTCCACATGTAGGTCTATGATCCTTTCAAGTTATGTTTTTTTTGTTTGTTTATTGTTTTGGGGTGTTTTTTTTGGTACCAGGGATTGAACTCAGGACTTTGGAGTTGTGAGGCAGGCAGCAGCACCACTGAGCTAAATTCCCAGCCCTCAAGTTAAGCTTTTATATAGCTGTATGAGCTGGTTTATTTTCGGGTTTTTTGCACGAGTCTCCAATTGTTCTAGCACCACTGATGCATACTATGTAATCTTTCATTACTTACCTTGTCATCTTTACAGAAAACCAATCTGACTTGCTAAACTACCCCTAGCACTCTGGGAGGCTGAGGGAAGAGGATTGCAGGTTTGAGCCCAGAATGGTCAATTTAGCAAGACCCTGTCCAAAAAAAAAAAAAAAAAATATATATATATATATATATATATATATATGTATCGTTAAAATTTTAGCAGATATCTCATTGCTACCTTATATGGTAGCAATCTTTATCTCCTGCGTTCTGGCAAGGGTGATAAACTCCTGTGTCCAAGCTCTCTTTGAAATTCAGCTTACCTCACAGCCTTGCAACCTCAGCTCCCTGATGTGCTCAGGACAAGTTATGATTTTGTAGGTCATAAACCATTCCCGTTATTTTCTTAATTGATGTTCATTGCAGCTTTCTAAATTCTAAGCAAATTCCATCAATATTTATTGAATGTATATTACCTGCAAGGCATTGTTCTAGGTGTTGGTTACAGCCAAGTAAGAGGAAACAAATCCGATCTCAAGAAGTTTATGTTCCAGGGGTCGGGGATGTAGCTCAGTAAGTTCTGAGCCTCCCTACCAAGCACAAGGTCCTGAGTTTGATCCCTGGTACAAAAAAAAGTTTATGTTGCTGGGGATTTAGCTCAGTGGTTCTGGCGCCTGCCTTGCAAGTGCAAGGTCATGAGTTCTATCTCCGGTACTGAAAAAAAAAAAAAGTTTATGTTCCGCTGAAGGGAGGCAGGTAGACTATTATAAATTATAGTATTTGGTAGCACTAAGTTGTATGAAGAGCACTTTGCTGATGAGCAAAAACACAATGATTATTGTACAAGTGGTGCTCCCCTCCTGTATTCATGATAGTACCTATATTTCTTTGCCTCTTTTAAATTCTTCCCAGGGACCTCTACGGTGAAGAGTGGACCAGACAATACTCTATCTCAATGTGATGTAATGCAGTAAGCTGTCAGCTCCAAATAATAAACAGGACCTTTGTTCACATTCCCATCAGCAAAGATAGAACTGTTCCAAGTCAACGTGCCAGGTGTTAGGTAGAGGGCCACCAAGACTCACGAAGTACATGGTATATATACACTTTGACACAACATAAAATAATGTACTGTTGTGGAAGGGAGTAAATTTCCCTTCCCTGGAAAAGGTGCCCGGCGGGTTCAAGAGTCCATTTTTCCGGCAGGATCCCAACTTCCCGGGAGGTGTCTAGGCGTCTTGGTCAAGCAAGCTCTCCAGCTACTGAAGTAGCAAGGCCCCGCCCAAGGCCTTTCCAGGGTGCCCGGATGCTGCTCTCCTGCTGGCCTCACAGCTGCTTCCTTGTAGACTCCTTGGTGCTGCCGAAGTCCATGCTGTTAGAGAAATGGGGGTACCTGAGCAAGGTCACAAAGCGTGTAAGACCGAGGGCCTTACCAAACGCTCCGAGGAGCTGACTGTAGCGAAGAACACCCGGGAAGGAACACACCGGACAAGTTGGAAAGTAAAACAGACCTTTATTAGTCTGGCCAGACGGCACTCCCAAAGCAAAGTAGCTTAGAGAGGCAACTGGCTCAGAGTCCGAGGCTGTTTTTATAGGGGGTTGCAGGGGAAGTTAGCAAGCAGAACTTACAGAAAAGAGAAAAAAATGTTGATGGTCAAAAGATGTTTGTAGATTGTCTTATAGATAGCTGTGTCCGGAACATCGGTTTCGGACAAACAAGGAGGTGGGTAATTCACTTAGGAACTCTATGTTTGTTACAGATTTTATCTAGTGTCCCAGAACTAACAAGCACATTTTAACCATTAACTCACAATCAGTCACTATGCTGGGGCTGGGGGAGCTTTTATGATTATAGAGTTATGCGGTCCCACAGCGGGGGACCATTGATTGGATCCTCGCCCCTGACCGTCCGCGTGTGATCCTGGCCCCCGTGCACCGATCTCAGGCCGTGTTCCCCGAGTCCAGGCCTTGGGCTAGCAATGTCCCGGCGGCTGGCATGGCACCCAGGCGGTGACAACTGTGATCCAGCTTCTGGCCTGGCGGATCGTCGGTTCTGATAAAGCTGTTCTCCCCAACTCTGTCTGTTCCTCTTCGCGCTGAATGATAGATACTCAGACTACACTTAAGGAAAACCGATTTCCCAGCAGTATTTCAGTCAGGGCGCGGCCATTGCTGAAGGTGAGATTCCAAAAGGAAGGCGACAAGCGGCAATCCGGGCGAGGGCTTCGTGCTGTCGGTCAGTATGTGGAGCTCCCTTCTCAGGGCTCCTCCTTATTTGGAGTGGCTGGTTCTGAGCCAGCAGAGCAGGCTGTGAGAGGACCTTTGCCATGGAATTCCGCGCTCACCAGCCTGACCTCACGGTGCAGCAGGAAGGCGAGCTCCAGGAGATGCAGGCTACTCCTTTAAGACGCGCGGGAATACTGCGCACGCGTCTGCCGCCCGGAGGACAAGGCTGTAGCGGGGCGGGGACAGCGGCGAGAAGAGCGAGAGCCCCACTGAAGGATAACTACGCGTGCGTTTTGGCTGTGGGCGGGGCTTGGCGAGGCGAGGCGGGGCCGTCAGCCGTCACGCGCAGCCCCGCCCCCTGGGCGCTGTTGGCCTCCTCCCGAAGGCAACCGATTCTTGGCGCTGTCTCGGGTTAGCCTCGGTGACAATGGGGGACCCCAGCAAGCAGGACATCCTGACCATCTTCAAGCGCCTCCGCTCGGTGCCGACCAACAAGGTAACAGCGCCGAGCCTTCAGGGCTGCCTCCCGCACGGGACTCCGAGGGCGCGGTGGCCGCGGCCTGGGGGGAGGAGCCGGCCCAGCCGGGCCCGGGTGTGACACGTCGCACTGTGGGGCCGCGGCGGCGGGGCCTCCCGTGTCAAAGCTGCCCGCATCCCGGGCCGAGAGGGCGGGGGAGGGACAGCGCCCTGGGTTCGAGGGGAGGGGCCGGAGCGCCTGGGGGCGCCAGGCACCCGGAAGGGGTCTCTGGGGACAGGAGACAGAGCACCTGTGAGCTCCAGACACCTGGCGACCAGGCAAACACGGGCGAGGAGGGACTTGCGTGGGTTCCCGGGGGCTACGAATGGGTGGGCGGCCTAGGGCACCGGGAGCAATGAGAAGCAGGTAGCACAAGGTGCTGGAGGACGCGGCTCCCCCTCCCCATTCACCTCTAAAGTTCCAGCTGGGAGCTGAGGGCCAGGAGGTTGGAGTCTGGTTGGTTCTCTTTGTCCTTTAGTGGCAGCCTCAGCGTCCCTTACTAAACCTGTTAAAGTGGGCTCTGAGATGGCCTCCAGGTTTTGCCCTCCAGACCCTCAGTCTTCCCTGGCCATGGCTCTGTTTAGGTGCCCTCCCCCCCAGGATCGTTCAGCCCCTCTAACTTTTACAACTTTTGTGTGAGGTGTTGTGATGATGCACGGGGCTAAAGTGACAACCTGACTGAGGGTCACAAGGTAGTGTGGAGCCTACCTAGTGTGGAGAGCAAAGGGCTGCCTTGTCCCTGTAGGCTCTCCCCACCCTTCCTGGGACAGGAGTCCTGTCTGGTCACCTCCAGCATGCTCTTGGGGCCTGATGAGATGGCACAGAAAGTGTTCCAAAATTTAAGTGCTTTAAGTGGCGATGGTGGAAGGGAGCCTTTATTTCAACTGGAAGAAAGTGAGGTCGACTGAAGGGAAGTTAGCAGGGAAAGGCTTCAGGTTCCATTTCCTTACTGTTTTCTTTTTTTTTTTTTTGGTACCGGGGATCGAACTCGGGACCTTGGGCTTTCGAGGCAGGCGCTGGAACCACTGAGCTAAATCCCCGGCCCACCTTACTGTTTTCTTGATTTTCCATATGAGATGGATCTGTTTTCTAGAACATGGTCACTGTACTACTAGACAAGATTGGGCCTGCAGTTAGCTTTTTTCAGTTAGTATTTCAGTTAGTATTTTTCATCTTAGAACCATATCAACAACATGGTGGTCTCAGCTGCTTTTTTTTTTTGGTAGGTAGTGATACTGAGGTACTGAGGATTGAATCCCCAGCCTTCCACTGAGTAACATCACCCACCCTTTTAATTTATTTATTTAGAGACGAGGTCTCACTGTGTTGCACAGGCTCACCTGGAGCTCAAGATCCTTCTATTTCAGCTTCCCAGGTAGCTGGAATTACAGATGGGCATCATGGTGCCTGGCTCAATCTTTATTGTCTATGATTGAATTAACCAAAGGGAAGGTGTCTCTTGTCATTATATCAAGAGACACTTGAGGGACATGTGAGGGCTTCTTTGGAAATTATAATCATTATCCATGTGTGCTACTTTCTAGCTATGTCACCCTTGGGCAATGTCTTAAGTACTTTCTCATTGCTGAAACACAATACCTGACACTCAAAACTCTAAGGAGGAGAGGTTTATTTTGGGCCACAGTTTATAGAGGTTTTAGTCCATAGTCGGCTGGCTCCAAAGCAGGGGAGCCTGGCAGAGGGGTGTCACAGAGGACAAAGAGCTCATGGCATGGTGGTGGGAAGCAGAGAGAGAAATCAAGGGAGGCCGAGGAGATGCACCCTTCCAGGCTACACCCCCAGTGACCCACGCCTCCCACCAAGCTTCACCTCCCAAATCATATTTGGCTATAAACTCAGCCATGGACTAATCCACTGATATGTATCAAAACCCCATGAGCCAGTCACCTGCCAGAAGCTCCACCTAAGAGCACCTGAGGCTTTGAAGGGACATCCAGATATAAACCATTACATGGAGGTTACTTGATAGCTTTGTGCCTTACTTTCTTGTCTGAAGGTGGTGGTAGTGAACCAGACCTAGCTCCCAGGAACAGTGTGAGGATTAGATGAGATGGTCCAAGAAAAGCATTTAGAGAAGTATTTACATGTACTTGTTTTCCATATATTTCAGCTACTTTTGTTACTTTTATTATGAAGAACACAGCTGTGGGAAATTTTATATCCTTTAACAGGATTAACGAAGCAGTGTCCAAAAATGTTTTCTAATGGTGTTTACAGAAATTTGCTGTCTGTCCTGATTATCAGCTTGCAACCATTTAGCCCTTGCTTTGAAACCATTATCTGAACAAAGATCACAGCTTGCTTCGGACAACAATACACATTTTTTAAATGTCATAAAAAAGTACTCTGGGATACTTAAGACAGGAAAGGTAATTAAAGAAAAACAACTTCATTTCCTTTTAAAATAAGGTATACAATTTCATCCTGTTATATATAATGATGATTTATTCTGGGTCAAAGATTTTAACTCATGAGGGTCATTTTTCTGGTTTGTGAAATCCTTTGTGGCTATCCTATTCCTTAGTCTTATGTAGATTGCTCATGTTATTCATTAAACCACTGCAGCATGTTGGGCTAAGGGCATTCACAGTGATGAGTAAAGTTGGCCTTGCCTTCTGGAGCTTCTGGTCTCGAGGATGAGGAGTAGGTACAGCACTGCATGGCCCTGCTTTCTGCAGTGTGGCAAAGGAGTGAAGGGTGGGCACCAGGAGCACACTGCCTGGGTCCACTTTCCACGTTTAACTGATTCCTCAGTTGTCTCTAGGATGGGGATCAAGCCCAGCTACATAATTTATGAAGTGTAAAAAATGGAAGTATGAGGCCCTTATTTGAAAAGTATCAAGAATTTTTCTTTTGTTGTTACCGGGGATCAAACTTGGGTCCTTGCGCTTTCAAGGCAGGCACTGGAACCACTGAGCTAAATCCCCGACCCATTATCAAGAATTTCAAAGTGAAGCAGCAGAGCGTTAAATCCACTGGGAGCCCTGCTACATTGGGAGCCCTGTGAGTCCTTTCAGATCACACACAGGCCTGGCAGGCTGGCCCTGATTGGTGGTAATAATGCCTTTTTAGAGGTTATTATGAAGACATAAACCTGTAGTGTTAGCTGTTAGCTTTTCTATAATCATTACTCTCATCATCAGGCAAAATAAATTGTCAGTAAAAGCCATTTATTTTTCCTGTGTATAACTTTGATACTCTGCTTGGAAAACCTAATCTCCTTTGGTTTGGGATCATGTGTCAAAACACAGTGCAGTCTGTGCTCTCAGAGCCCAGTTTCCTGCCCCAGCAGGCCCATCAGAACCACATTGTGTGAGCCAGACGTGTGTTTCTTTTTTTTTTTTTTTTGGTACCAGGGATCAAACTCGGGTCCTTGCGCTTTCAAGGCAGGCACCGGAACCACTGAGCTAAATCCCTGGCCCAGACTTGTGTTTCTGACAGCCTCAGCCCTTTGAACTGTTCCCTGCCTTGGACTGCATGAGTGAAGGCCCGCTTTGTGCTTGTCACCTGAACAAGACTGGATGTGCTCTGCCCCACAATCCCTCAGCTTGGTTGGTGGATCAGGGATGATGCTGAAGCTGCTAGGCTGGAAACCCACTGCTGTCTTCTTGTCGCTGGCCTTGTGACCACCTCAGAAGTGACTGTCAAACTGCCCTGCTCTGGGCTGTGTTCACCAAATCTCTGCTGTCACCTCCACTGCCAAGGATGTTTCCTGCACAGGCCCTTGCCACTCATTGTCTTCCTTGACCCCACTCGTGAGATAGCAGATGCCTCTTTGGCCCTGTCTAGAAGAGTTTGGGAACCCCGTCCTTACTTGCTAGTAACTGTCTTGCCCTCTACGCTGAGGGCTGCATGGGGCAGACTGATCCTGGCCACCACTGTGGACCCACTCTCTGTGGGCCCACACAGTACCAAATGCCAAGTGCCCAGCAATTGCCAGATGAGTGACCAAGGAGAGTCACCACCGACAATGAGAGGCCTCCTCACCCTGCTTGGTGTCCCATGGAAGACCCTCCCTCCTGTGATGGCTCTTACCCTCAGGATGTATTGATGTCAGGGTCTGACTGCCCCACGCACAGTGCTCCTCAGAGACCAGGGAATAAGGCTCAGTATGAACTGGTGGGATCCGTAGCACTGTCTATTGCTGTGTCCTTCAGCACCCATCATTGTGCCTGGAACAGAGCAGGCAGGCAGTAGACACTGAAGCGAGTCCCTTTCACCCCCATTGTCACTCCATCCTCACTACTCATGACCATCATCCTGAGCCTGAAATGGTGACACTTGTATATTGCCCTCAGAGGCCAGAAGCCGTGTCTTTCTTGAGGGGGATAACGAGGACAAGCTTCACATAGGTGGCTCTGCCTTATAAAGTGTATCTAAAACTTTTTTAATTTTTTTATTTTTTGAGACATGGTCTTGCTATGAAGTTCAGTCTGGTTTTTTTAGGGGTTTTTTGGTTTTGGGGGGGTTTTTTTTGGTACTGGGGATTGAACTTGGGTCCTTGCACTTGAGGGCCAGGTGGTGGAACCACTGAGCTAAATCCCCGGCCCGGTTCAGGCTGGTTTTGAACTCACTGTGTAGGCCAGGCTAGCCTTGAACTCATGGGATCTTCCTACCTCAGCCTCCCAAGTGCTGGGATTACAGGCATGCAGCATCACTCCCAGTTTAAAACTCTTTTTTTTTTTCTGAAAAATTAAAAAAAAAATTCTCCTACTTTTAGAGTTTTAACAATTGTTCTGATTTTAATTAACTATACATCTTACTTTCTGTGATGAGACCTGTGTATTCTAAAATACACTTATGTTCTAGTTATCAGATAAAGAGCATTTGACTTCAGTGACAGTGTTGAAGGGATTACTGATAACTTTCAGCCGGCACTAAATTTCGTAGATTCTTAACTTGATTAACAAATATTTACTGAGCATTTATTATAAGGAAAGTACTGTTTTGTTTTGGTTTGGTTTTTTTGTACCGGGGATGGAACTCGGGACCTTGCAGTTGTGAGGCAGGTGGTGGCACCACTGAGCTAAATCCCCGGCAGGAGAGTCCTGTTTTTTCAGACTCTGAAAATATCTAGGTCTTCTTACCGAGCACTGGCTGTGCTTTTCCGTACTGTGTGTGGTAGCAGGGAAAGGAAGCAAGGTGACAGGGACAAGGCCAGACCCGTGGGGCTCTCAGGAAGCTTGGGGGGCAGAGGACACGTTCCTTGGTTGCGCACCATGTGCCTGACGGTGTTCAGAGTGACCTGGACAGATGGCGAGAGGGACACGGCGTCTCATAGAGGACCACAACTCTGCAGTAGTTACCTATTGTTTCATATCAGATTACCCCGAATTGAGCATCTTAGGGCCACAGATGTATGTCCTCTCACACATATGTGCGTGGGTCTTGTGGGCATCAGGATGGGAGTGCGCTGGTGACTGGTTTGGCCTCCACGTCTTAAAGAGGCTGCAGTCGCCTGAGTGGTGTGGGCAGGTGTCCACTCCCCACTGGCTGTCATCAAGAGCCTCACCCCCATATCCTGCCACCAGAGCCTCTCTGCAAGGCTGTCTGGCTCTCCTTGGGAGGTGGTATCTGGCTTCCCCCAGAGCCAGTAATCAGATGGACACACAGGGAGACAGAGAGGCAGCCACAATGTTTTTTATAACCGAATCTCGGAAGTGAGGTTCCATCACTTCTACCATATTCTCTTGGTCACTCAGCCCACACTGTTGAAGTTGGGCAGAAGTCACATAAGTATGTGAAAACCGGGAGTTGGGGGCTGGGGATTTATTTAGCTCAGTGGTTCCACCTCCTGCCTTGCAAGCGCAAGGTCCCGAGGTTGATCCCCTGTACCAAAAAAAGAAAAAAAAGAAAACCCGGAGTTGGGGGGATAGCTAGGGCCATCCGGCTGGCACATCACCTCCTCCTCCAGCTCAGGAGAGAGGAAATATGCCTGAGAGCTGCCATGTGGGACAAGCCACTGCCCAGGCCTGGGGTGAAAGAGCTGGGGTGTTCCCAGTAGGGCCGCATCCCTGCAGGGTCCTGCTGAGCCTTTAGGACAAGGAATGTCTAAGATGACTCATAGACTCCAGTCCCCTCCCTGGGGACAGTGCATAGTGTCCTGATAGATACATAACAATCAGAAAGTTAATATGATACAGTAATCTATGTTAATAACTTAGAGCTGATAATATATCATTATCATGAGAAGTAATATTCAGTATCATAATAAAAGATATGTCAACTTGAAGTTTTATAAAACCTACCTGAGATATTTTGTAATAGCCAAAGTTTAAGTTGTAAAGGTTAAGCAGTGTTCGAGCCAGTCAAGTACTGTGTCCCATGACTCATCCAGCTCATATAAATTAATTAATAACTGAATTTCGCATTTTTCTTTTAGGTATGCTTTGATTGTGGTGCCAAAAACCCCAGCTGGGCAAGCATAACCTATGGGGTGTTTCTTTGTATCGACTGCTCAGGATCGCACCGGTCACTCGGGGTTCACCTGAGTTTTATTCGGTAAGTGCGTCTTCCCACCCTGGGTGGGAGCCTCTGCTGTCACATGGTGTCCTCCCCCTTTCTCATTGTGTTTGCTTGGACATCACATAACATACTGGGTCACTTGTGAGGTATGGAGATTGGAGTCTTAGTATGTAGGCTGTGAAGTGAGGTATCTCCTATTCCGACCCTGTCTACAGAGATCTCGCCAGAGACTGGAGGCGCTAATGTTGAAAACAAAGTCAGAATGGAGTTTTCTTTCTTTCTTTCCAAGGGCCTTCACACTGAGCTACATCCTCAGTCATTTTTAATTTTTTATTTATTTTTGGTACCTGGGATTGAACTCAGGACCTTGGGCTTGCGAGGCAGGCGTGGGCACCACGGAGCCAAATCCGCAGCCCAGCCATTTTTTATTTTGAGTCAGACTCTCAGTCACTAAATTGCCTACGCTGGGCTTGAACTTGTGATCTTCCTGCCTCAGCCGCCCAGAGTGGTGGGGTTACAGGTGTGCACCACCACACCTAGGTAGAATGGAGGGTTTTGAGGCAGTGTTTCCTTTCCCTTCAATGTTTTCTCTTAAATTAGGGTACACAGCACCCACTCCAGGGAGAAGGGGCTCTGAGGTGTTGTGGGTCCCTCCTACACCCCATGTGGGTGGGGAGTTGATGTGACAGGGAAAGCCTTCCATGTAGCTGGTGTCACCTGTGGCATAAACCTCCAGTGCTGACTCCCACAGACAGCAGCAGTGCACACCCTGAGTAAATGACTTTGGTTTGATTTTTAGTGGCACTTTCAAATGTTCATAATATCAAGGTCTTCTCTCTTCCTCTGATGACCTGGGCAGCAAGTGAACTCTTCCACTTTTGACACCGTGGGGCTCAGTGGGCATCACAGAAGGTCACGCCCATGAATAGACAGTTCCCCCAAGGGAGGTGGAAAGGGTCCTCCGTGAAGTAAGAGAGATTGAAATCATAAATGGTCAGGGATCCCGAGTCAGGCTCAGGGCTTAGGAGCCCAGCAGGGCCTGTACACTGTTCCTCCCGTCCTTGCCAGGCCCTCCTGTGGGTCACCAGGAACAGCCTTACAGAGGTGTGGTATTCTGCCTCGTCTGTCCAACTCACCTATATCCTGGCCACTGCTTTTCCAGGGAAGAAACCCACTAGGCAGGCTATTTGGCACTGTGGCAAGCAGTTTATTCATATCATGACTTTAGGAAGATTGACGCAGATTAAAGAAGCAGGCTGGGGATTACCTCAGTAGCACTGCACCTGCCTTGCAAGTGCAAGGTCCTGAGTTCTATCCCTGGTACCAAAAACACACATACAAAAAAAAGACAAAAAACAGAAGCATCATTTCTATTGATAACATTGGTTACAGTTCATAAGGAGACATTTTGTATGGTAGTACAAAAACTATATAGTTGGACAGGGGATTTAGCTCAGTGGCATCACACCTGCCTTGCAAACACAAGGTCCTGAGTTCGATCCTCAGTACCAAACTATATAGTAATACTTACAGCACAGTTTTCTTTTTTGAATATTTTTAAAACTTCCTTGATGGGCTGGGGATTTAGCTCAGTGGTTTCGCTACCTGCTGCACAAGTGCAAGGACCCAAGTTCAATTCCCAGTACCAAAAAAAAAAAACTTCCTTGATACAGGGAGTTTTTTGGAAATCAGTTTATAAAGGCATGGTAGGCTAAATATTGATAACCGTATTATTCTGTCATTCCAAAGGGAACTATGTTGTGTCTCCTTCCTGGTTCCAGATCATGTGTCATTTTCTTCTTTCTTTTCCTTCTTTTGTTGCTGACTCTGGCCTCGGAACATTTTTTGTTTTGGTTTTGTTTTTGTTTTGGTACCAGTGATCGAACTCGGAACCTTGTGCTTACGAGGCAGGTGGCAGAACCACTGAACTAAACCCCCGGCCCTTGGAATGTTTTTAATACACTGTTCTGTCCTTGTTTGTTTGTTTTTTTAAGTTGAGGGATCTAGTTACACAGGCAAGTTTATTTATTTCAATTCTTTTTCTTATGGTAAAATTTACCATCTTAACCATTTTCTAGTAAATAGTTCAGTTTTACCGAATCCATTCATGATTTCTGTGACCATCACTACCATCCACTTCATGACTCTTTTCATCTCGTAAAACTGTAACTCTGTGCCCGTTACGTAAGAGCTCAGGGTGTCCTGTTCCCATCTCCATGGGCCCCACTAGTAGAACTATCTACTAATGATAGTAGAGCTAACATGCATATATATAAATATGCAGTCCTGCTTTAATGACCCAGTTCTGTTCCTGGAACTAAGTTGTTGAGTGAATTGGTTGCTCCCTGAGGAATTGTGTGTAGTATGTGCATTACAATATTCAGAGCAAAGAAATGGTCAAAGGACACTCCAACTTGATACCTTTGCTTTTACTTGCATAGCTCTTACATGCAGCACTGTAATGTATAACAACATCAAACTACAGAACTGTACTGAGCAGTGCAATCAGCAAAAATTACAAGACTGTATGAACACAGTGTACTGTATAAAAAAAAGACATTAAGGCTCTATCAACAAGATGTACAGATTTGTACAACAAAAAAGATGGGTCGTAAGTTGAAGCAGCAGGTCGTAAGTCCAAACAGCATGCCTCAGTCTAAGTCCAAACAGTCATTAAACAAGTAGGTCGTTAAACAAGGAGTATCTATATATATGTCTTGTTTTTTGGGGGGTTTTTGGTACTGGGGATTGAACTTGGGACCTCTTGCTTGTGAGGCAGGAGAGGTAACCACTGAGCTACATCCCCGGGCCTTTATTTGTTTTTGTTTTTGTTTTTGCAGTACTGAGGATCATACCCAGGGCCTTTGTGCTGAGCTACATCCCCAAACCCCTGCCCTTTTTTTCACTTTAAAAAAATTACTATTATTTAGAATTTGGTTTTTTTGGTACCGGGGATCAAACTCGGGTCCTTGCAGTTTCAAGACAGGTGGTGAAACCACAGAGCTAAGTTCCCAACCCAGTTATTATTATTTAGAAACAGGCTCTTGCTATGTAGTCCAGGCTGGCCTTGAACTCAGCAATCCTGCCTCAGTGTAATCCCTCCCGAGTGCTGGGATTACAGAGTTTACCACCCCAGCTTTTACTTTTTTTTTTTTTCCAGTGCCAGGGATCGAACTCAGGACATTGCACCTGCCAGGCAGGCGGGGCGCCACTAAACTATATCCCCAGGCCCCTTTACTTTTTATTTTTGAGACAGCGTCTTGCTAAATTGCCCAGTCTGGCTTCGAAATTTTGAATCCTCCACCTCAGGCTTGCAGAGTGCTGGAATTACAGACATGCACCACCATGGCTGATTTACCATTCTGTTTTCTGTACCTATGATTTTCATGTCTCTAAGTACCTTGCATGAATGGAATCATAAAGTCTTTTTGTCCCTGGCTTCACATAATGCCCTCAAGGTTCATCCACAGTGTGGCATAGGCTGGAATGTCCTTAAGATAAGCAACATCCCCTTGTGTCCATATATTACATCTGCTGCCCCTCACCCACTGGGAAATGTGTGGGCAGCTTCTGCACCCTGACCTTGGTGAATAGTGCTCCTTTGGATGCACCTATTCAAATGCTTCTTGGAGAACCTGTTTTGAATTTTTCTGGGGATATACCCAGAGTGGGATTACTGGGTCAGATGGTAATTCTGGTTTTAGTATTTTGAGGAGCCACACACTCTTTTTCACAGTGGCTGTACCGTTTTACATTCCACCAGCAACACACAGACTTCCTGTCTCGCTACATCCTCACTACCACTCATCCCTCCTTCCTTTCTCCCTCCCTCCCTTCTTCCCTTCTTCCTTCTTTCCTTCCTTCTATCCTTCTCTTCTTTGTGGTCCTGGAGATACGACCAAGGGCAAGTACTCTAAGCCTGAGCAACATCCCCAGCCCTGTTCTTTTTATTTTTTAACTTTTTGGTAACAGCCCTCCCAGTGGGTATGACTATGTATGATTAGTGAAGTTGATGTTTTCATCTTCTTATCACCATCTGTATATCTCTTTTGAAAAATATCTCTTCAGGTTCTTTGCCCATTTTTTAATCTAGTTGTTTGAATTTTTGTTGTTAAATTTTAGAAATTCTATACATTTTCTAGATATTTAATCCTCATCAAATATATGATTTGCAATATTTTCTGTATTTTGTGGGTTCCCTTTTTACTCTGTTGATAAGTCTTTTAATGTACAGACTTTGTTGGGAGTTCTTTTTGAGACAGGGCCTCTCTGTAGTCCAGGCTGGCCTTGAACCCACTATGTACCCTCAGCTGGCCTTGAACTCACAGCAATCCTCCTGCCTCAGCCTCCTGAGGGCTGGGAATTACAGGCACATGCCACCACGCCCACCACTGAGCAAACTTAAAATTTTTCATGAAGTTCATTTTCTCCATTTTTCTTTCTTTCTTTCTTTTTTTTTTTGGTACCAGGAATTGAACTCAGGACCTTGCGCTTGCCAGACAGGCGCCGTGCCACTGAGCTAAATCCCTGGCCCTCCATTTTTCTTTTGTTGCCTATTTTGGTGCAGTATTCAAGAAATCATTGCCATGTCTAATGTCATGAAGATTTTACCTGCCGCAGACCAGCTGCAGTCGATGTCGATGTAGGGTAGGAAGGGGAGATGTCCTGGGCCGGCGATGAGAAAAGAACCTTCACAAGCAATGTTCAGGCTCCCTCTCAGAAGTCCCAAGGTCTGATTTATTTTTATATCTTTAAGCAATAGCTAGGAGGCATTGGGCGGAGCATGTTTACATTTTAGGTTGCCTTAGCAATATCTATTGAAGTAAAGGTTATTTTTTGCTAAACAGAGTATATTTTTTCTAAGCGGATTCATTTCATTGAACATCATGAATACATTTTTAAAAATTACAATTGTCCCCTTATTTTCCCATACCTAAGCAGAACAGAAGGTAACTTAATCAAAATCTCTATATCAGTGGGGGTATAAGCAAGATTTATTTAATTAAATGTCAAACTTGTGGTCGCCAGCTGGCCCT